TCATACAAAAAAATTGACATTTAATATTTTTTGATAAAAATGTTAAGTGCAATTCGCTAGCTGTCAACCACAGCCACACTACTCAGTCTCTCTTACTGCAAGCTTTCTCTATGAAATCTGTTTTATAATCGCTGCAGCTTCGTACATGCTTCACATAATCCATTTGACTTTGAGTTATGCAAGCGCGCGCGCGGTTGTATCGAACTTTTGACTAGACACACGTATCTGAAATTGAATCTCTCGCAGCGACAAACAAGGAAAACTAACCACACTTCAACGCACACAAACTCACATATGCAAGCCTTAAGCAACGAAAGTTGCAAACCCGACTACCGTATGCCGTATGCATATATATGTATATGTTTGTGTGCAACAGTCAAACACTGCGGGCAATCAGCTTAGTTGCCATCGACAGCAGCCATCAGAACGAGAATATGTTGATAAGGTTTTGGCGTAAAAACCAAGCGCACGCTCGTTTACGCCAATACTCACACACCGATTTACACTTTAGCTCGTATTTCATGAAATACACACACACACACGCATGTGTGGACTAGCTGCTCGCATGACTTTTGACAGGCGCGACCGTGGCGGTGTGGAGTTCAGTATTTATTTCTGGAAATTAATTTGCGTATCGCTAAAAAGGCTGCCAATGAAGCACGCCGCAAGGGCAACAAAATGCGCAGCTACAACAAAAAACAAACAGCAAAAACAACAACAATGTGCGCAAACATCAATACAGTTCAATAGACTGCCGTTGGCATTAGCATCAACATCAACATGGCAACGAAATGCTGAGGATAGGCCATGTTGCTCATACGCCTCCGTGCACCCAACACACATACGCCCGTTCACACACCGCTAATAGAAGTTTTGTCGCTATCCATACATTTAAAGACATATACACTGCTAACGGCATATACTATCTAACGATTGTATCTGTTTATTTGCACAACACCGTAGCAGTTTACAGCAAACAACCAGCAATTGCGTTGATTTAGCGTGTGAGTGTGCGCGTGCAGATTTGTTTATATTTGTGTGTTTGCTTTGCAGCGGTAGCGGCAGCGGCAGTGGTAGTGTCAGCTGTTTGTGTAGTGGCAGATTAAATTTCTTTCGATGTGCAAACGAGTTATGAAACTGCTGGTCATTGGTGTGAGTAAACGATTTGAGCGCACATCCACACATACGAAACTTTGTATGTATGTATTATATGTGTTGCTTAAAAGGGTTAAAATGTAGGCGTGTATGCAAACGCATATTTCAGGTTTATAAAGAAAATTGATTTATTGACAAAACAAAAGCGTCAGAAACTGAAAGCTTGAAAGCGAAGTAGGCGGAAGTGCTTTCTTTCAGTGTTAGTTTGCTTCACATTTTTTGATTTGCTTTGAGTTAGTCACTTGTGTATAAAGAGCAGCGGGTTTGTCACCACACACACATATATTTGTATATTGAAACGAGTGCAATAATAAAGCAATTTTGAGGCATCAGCTGGATACTTATATTCTTATAACATGTGTCACAGTGCTGCCCATGACAGGATTTATAGCCACTATTAAGTTAGCGGTTTGTCTGTTTTGCTTATTTCGACGTGACTTCAACTTTTTTTGTCTTGTATTCCACATTTCTTTTTCTGCATTTACTTTCTTTCTGTGTATTTTATGTTTTTGATAAAACTCTATTTTTCTTTCCAACTAATTTTTCACATTTTTGCTTGCTGGGCTTACGTCGATTTAAAGTAATAGCACTAGATACATTTTTCTTATAATACATAGTTCATGCTTTGTCACATAAAGTGATGATTCATCTATGAGAAATTATAAGTTTCATATTATCACTAAAAATGGACTTTCATTTGTTTAATACTAAACATTGTATCCAGAAACCGAGACTTTGCGATACTAATCTATGTAGTGTCATATACAAACACATACACAATCAATTATTATATTATTAGCTCAAATATTAATATACCTATTTTTCACCAGATTTAATAAAAATGTATTATATGCATATTGATTAATAGAAAGCACAAATAAATAGCGAGAGAATATACGAACCTACACTTCTGATTGAAATATATTTATTTTATGCTTCGTCTGCATGTAAAATTAGATAAAAATCTTTTTCAATAGTTTCGCATGTAAATTACATTACAACAATAAATATTATTTATAAAACTTTTTCTCCAACACACTTAAATCTTAAGTATGTTGTAGTAAATTCCTACACTTTTATCGCCACGTGATTGGGTAAGACTTTTACAAGTGTTTTGGTTTATTCGAAACAAATGTTGCGCCAACACGTGACTCGTGAAAGCAGCATCCATATTTCCACTTAAGTCATATGCATTAATGCTAAGTATAACATAGATATTTACATGCTTACATACACGTGAGCAAAACACACGCACGAAAATGAACTTGAGTCAAAGCAAAACTTGCGTCTGATAAAAGTTTGGCCAGAAACGTGCACATAAGTTATGTTTACCATTACGCTCACCTATTCTTATCTTATCTGGCAGCGTCTTCGCTTCTAGAAATACGAGCACATACTTATATATATGCATTTATTACTAGCCTTGAGCATAAATATATAAATATAATATTTGGTTTATTTGCAAAACTTCTGCTTTAGCTTGTCGTCTTTATATGTTTAGTCGTGTGTATTTATTTGTCAAAGTTCAGTTATTCAAGTACTACATATGGTACATAATGTCAGTGTAGTTATGTTCTTGTATATATTAATGGCGCAAAGATAACAAAGGATTTGATGCACTTGTAAACATAAGTATTTGCGAAAACTTCTAGTCTAACTCGTCTGCAGACAATTAAGTATACTTTAAGCATAGTTGTAAGCACCACAAAAGACAATGCAAAATACGAGATGCGTAAGCAAAACTATAAAGTTGTCTTCGTGGAGCTTTTGAGTGTCGAAGTAGTTAAACGAAAACACTTTGCTGTTAATTATATACAGTTGAAGGAATCTATTTCTTTGCAGTTAGCGTTTGTAGACTTTATTTTAGTATTTAGCATTTCTCTATATACATACTGGTTTATTCAATGCTAGCAAATTATACTTATTATAAAATTTACTAAAATAAGTTTGAATTATTATGAGAAGCGTAAAGCATCTATTTGAGCTCCCACGCCTTAAACTATGCTTAGAAATCGAAAATAAAACACAAACTAATGATATATAATATAATAAATAAAAGTAACAACTAAGGAATGACTATGTTCGGGTGTAACCCAACATTTTACACTTTCGCAACTTGCAAGGATCAAGACCGTGGAAATACTTTCAGGTACTGGCAATACTTTATTTAAAAACTGTGGCGAAAGAATTCAACTTTCAATATTCGACAATTTTTTGGTAAAATTTTCATCTGCTTCATAGATGTTTGATTTGTATACTGAAAAGTAAAAGAATCAGATAAAATTTAAAAGTTTGTTTTATGGGAAGTAGGCGTAGTTGGAAATGGACGAATCCCCAGTATATGATAGGAATAATTTGGTAACTTTAAACACGCGCACCAATTTGTAGAGCACTAAATTTCCTTCATAACTATGAGTTTTCCGCTTTTTAACGATTTTTTTCTATTGAGTTACAAAATTTAAAAGAAAAGAACTAATTTGCCTTAAAATAATTAAACTTAAAGCGTTACGCTTTCCGGAGGGATTTATTTAATACTGTCCTTTTTGGCAAACATTTGACAATATTTTTTTATTTTGTTTCACTTTATTTTAAAGAGTGGTCATTTTTTTTTAAATTATATGTGTGGTATATAAATGATTTTCAAAGCACGTTTCTCTAATTTGTTGAACAATTCTAAAAATATGACACAAGTTCATCAAGAACGACATTTCTACCAATTCTTAGGGAACTGGTTGAGAGATAATATTTCGCTTTTTACCATCCAAACACTTGCAAAAAAGAAGGAGCAGCCTAAGAGTCTATAAGAGAGAAGCAAATAGACAAATATATGATTGACGGATAAATAAAGAAATTTCTTGTATAAACCACTTCGGAAGTGTGAGCCTGATTCTAGGCAAAATTAGCGCAACAGGCAGCTGTTAAACTTTGAGTTTTCTTTACGACGAGCCTCTCGTTTCAACATTTTACTCTAAGCTTACTTACTCTGTTACAAATTGCTTAATTTAAAAGAAAACTTAATAAAATATTCATAGTAAAATGAAGCACTAAGGATCTGCACGAAGATTACCGCCAATTTACAATACCAATCAGGTTAAACGCTAATGCAAAGTATTTACTTGCGAACACATACAAACACACAACTAAAGCCGAACCTTCAGTTTGTATGTGTATGCGCCAAAGCAATTTTAGTTAAATTAAAGTTTGCAGTCCCAATGGGCATTAACGCAGTGACACTGAAATCATGTAAACCAAGTAAGCTGCTTTGAGTCAAAACGAAATAAAATGACTGAAAAGTTGTTAACATGCACATACACAGACATGCTTGCGCTTATATAAGTAGTCACTAGCAAGCTGTTGCAAATAATATTTCACCCATTCTCTAGACAATAACGACACAAAGCAGCCTTCAATGTATCGATCAGCAATAAAGTTGATGAGGCAACCAAATGCGACTGCCAGACGCGGCAGCGCAGCGACCGACCCCCCACGCGTAGTCACCCTTATCAACGTCAATATCGTATAAAATATGCAAAAATAATAGCGAGAAAGCAAAACTTTTGCAATTCACTTTAGGTTTGTGCTTTGAGCGCTTTTCAACTAAACACACACATACATACATACCTCTGAATACATACCTATATATATATCTATATATATATATATAGCTATACATGTATTCATAACACAAATGCGCATTCTTCACTCGCTCAGCTGTCAATATTTTGCGAGCAGAATTTCTCATTCTCGCCCGCCTCAAATAGTCGCTTTGTATTTTGATTTTTATTTACACACATACATGCATATTTATATTTTATAACAGCACTTATTGGCATGTCCGTACTTACCAGGGGCGGTTTGTCGACCAAACGCTTGCAATTATTCAACTCTGTGGGTGAGTTGTCTTCGTCCGAGCTGGGTGGCGTGTGCGCGGCTTTCTCGTTGTCATTGCAGCTGTGTGCATGTGTATGTGCGTATGCGTATATTATCATTATCGAGTATGAAGTCACACACATACATACATACGCGGACAAAATGTTGCAGAAAAGGGAAGAAAAAATATACGAAAAAGACCGTTAGCATTGTTTGCGAACACAGAGCGACACAAGTACAAGTAAAATAAGGTTACGGAATATAAAAAAAAAAAAAAAATATCACAAAAAGAGAATGTTGACTTCTGTTGACTAAGCATAATGGCGTAGTTAAATATTTATAAGTAGTGTCGCTTTAGTAAAATATGGTCTGGATTGTTGGCTGTGTGTGTGTGTGTGTGCACGGCTGCGGCCGACTTGTGGACAGGAAATTGCGTAAATGTTTGTGGTGTGTATTTTCCGTTTGTTGTCCCACACATGATGAGCGGGGTGGCGCACACATGTGACCGACACATATACATAAGTGCGCGTTGTCTGTGCTTAAAAAGTGCATAAGTGATTTTGTGCGCCCTTTTTAGCCCCTCATTGGGTTTTGTCTGACTTCACATTTCGAAGATAATCGCCATTGACAACTGCAGTCAATAAACTATAAAGCACATTTCGGTATTTATTTACATGAAAATATGTGTGAATGTGTGTGTAAGTGTGTTGGTGACAGCGTTGTTTATGTGCTAAATGGTTGTGGGATGCATTGTGGGTTGTTGGGGTGGTTGCATGCAGCAAATGCTTTTGTAAGTCGTGCGATTATTCATGTAAGTGCAGCTGCTTGTAGATATGTATTTAATTTTGCCAACAAATGAGGGTTGTGTTGGAATTTTTTATTTTTTTCATATAGTCTGATAGCATTTGTTGGTGCTTTGTATAGTTATTTATTATAGCGTGCGAGTTATGCGCCCCCTCTTATCTGCTGAGGGCAAGGAATGCATTTATGAGTTAAGAAAAGTGCTGAAATTTGTTTTATTTAATTTGCGCATTATTATTAACGCCAGCTGTGTTTTGTTTCAAAAATATATAGCAATTTTTGGAAATCGCTGGTTTGATATGGATATATGAGACCACAAAAGATGTTTGAAATATGGCGACAGAGAAAAAAATGTATTTCATACATCGGAGTGCGTACTACCAGGGTCCTGAGTTCACTTCCAAAAAAACTAAACTTATAAGCATGTTTTGCTGATAACGCTTTTATTTCGATAAGCCGTATTAAACATTTTGAAAATATTTCTATGATGGAAAAGATTTTTCTAAAAACCACGAACTTATCTTAAACGGTTTAAAACTATAAAGTATGAATATTAACATATGAATGGGATTTTCACTTAAAAACATTAAACAAACTGCCCTTGATAACTAAAACAATGAATCGCTCAGAAATGTCGCTTATTAAAAACCCACATGCCGTTCAAACTCACCGTTTATGTTTAAGACAGATATATGGCCTTCCTCCTATAATATGTACTTACACACATTGGAATTCTATAAATTTGACATTCATCAGTTGCTGCAAAAAATCAAAATCAAATCAAAAGGAAATCAAGTTACTTATAACAGAAAATAATCTGAAAAGATTTTATTACCTGATAGGGAAAATGAAATATTTTACACTATCTCTACGGGCATTAAAAACGATCAAGCAATATAAATGATGTATTTCAAGAAAAGGGTTTTGAATCAACATTTTTTCCATTTATTGTTTTAGATTTTTTTCTTTTTTTTTGATTTAAAATTTGGTTTTTTTACATGTCAAAGTGACAAAACATATGAATTTGACAGAAAAGCTTAAAGATTTGGGTGTGTTTAGTACAATCTATCGTAGTACATTACACAACACCACATAATTTAAATTGTTTCTTGAACATTATTGTAGTACAGAACGCCATTTGCTTTGGAACAAAAATTCAAACTACGAAAAATACACACATATGGATTCTGTACTTCATGTACTAAATGTCTGTCTTTGGCACTTACCGCTCAGGCACGATATGTTTTGTAAATCAGATATATAGTTTTGTCAGAACCGAATTTTAACAATGATTAGTTATTTAAAACTCGTTATACATTGTATTTAGCAGACGTTTTATTCGTACTTGTCCATTATATGGCCGAGAAATGAGAGAAATATTGAAGACTATTTGGGAAATAGGTATTATTGAAACTTTAAAAATTAAAATTGAAAAATTTTCGTAACTCGCAAAATACCTCGTAAAGGTTATATTAGTACTGGGTTTCAATCCTACGGTCCATTTTCGAACTAACCCGTCTCTCGCTGACCAATTTTACATTTATGGCATATTATGGAAAATGCCTACTATACCTATACTTATTTTGAGTTTTTTCGGAAGTTTGGTACAACTTTTTCAGATTAAACTTATTTGCATATGGAAGAATGCTAAGTGAATTAAACCTATACATTAGTGAGCGGCTTTACTGAAAAATGCTCCAAAATTGTTAAACTTTAGATTCGAATGCATTCCGAATATCACCGATATGGGACCAAATGCACAAAGTAAGATCGATTTGAATATCATCACTTAAAATACCAGTCTCCGTAGAAAATCGGATAGCATACTATTTTTTACAAATAAAGAAGTGGGAAATATATAAAACCGCTGATTTGTTTAAATGGTATTAAAGGGAAACCCCGTTATTATATTTTCGAAATTTAAGCTTTCCGTAACCAAAAAAGAAATAGGTATACATATATAAAATTTAACTTAAACCAACCAAACTGGATTTCTGGCGATTTCAAATGTATTTAAAGATAATTATCTCTTAAAACCGAGTATAAGTATTTAGACTACGCCTAGAAATGCACTTCAAAACCACTGATATGAGTCATCCAACAAGTTTATGACCAACATTTCACATTCACTGCGTTTTATGCGCAGAACACGTGTCTCAATAATTGGCGCGTTTCAGCGCGTTCCACTTCAGCATTTATGCTATTATGCTGTAATCTTTATAATGTGTCGAATCGCTTTCACTGCTGCTTTAAGCTACAAAAAAAAAATTTACAAAAAAAAAATCATACTCACTTCAAATTCGCTTGCGTGAATAAATGCAACGGACGTCGATTGCGCCCCACCGAGCCATGCAGCTGGGGCGATGAGGGTCGCGAGTCGCTGCCAACGTTATGCAGCTGCAGATGTGCGGGTGGTTTTCGGCCACCACCCAGCGTCGACACGCCACTGTAATGCTGAGTGACGGCGCTGCCGACGGCATGCATATTTGTACTTGAATTGGAGAAGCCGTGCGCAGTGCGAAGATTGTTTGCATTCTTCGTCTTTTGCAGTGTCTTCGTGGGCGAAGATGTGGACGAGGAGCGGAAGCGTGAACCCGTCAACACAGCTGCCAAATTGGCGGCAATGCGATTGTCGAAACGATTAAAGTAGCTGCCGTTGTCGACGCTCGGGTGATTGCTGTTACTGTTGCTGTTCCGATTGTTGCTGTTCGCCGTGGTTGGCGATATTGTGGTTGACAGTGTTATTGTTGTTGCTGCTGGTGCGACATCGATGTCGACACCCGCAGGCATTGTGTTGCTATTACGCTCATAATCCAAATTATTGTTAATCATTTTGAATGAGTTTATGCGTCGATTATGCGGTTGTCCTGTCGCGGCCAAGGACACCTGCGGCGCTTTTAAGCTTTTATGTTTTCTTTGTTTATATTTCACTGGAGCACTTTTTCACCTCAATTTTTGATAAATTTTATACCATTATTGCTTACTTTCAATGTTGTTTTTTCTTAAATATTTGTGTTGATAAATATTTTTATTTTCGTTTCCTGGCAAAAAAAAAGAATTAAGTTATGCTGTATGGCTTTTCTGTGTAACTGATAACTGGCAATTGCTATTTGCTGCGGTTCAGAGCTTCGGAAGCTCGTGCTGTTGCTTCAACCACATTTTATGCCACATTACCAAAGTTAATTCAAGCGTAAACTGACAACAACGCACACTTAAATACACACACAAAGATACCGTAACGGCAATAAAATGCACAAAAACAATGGCTCGCATCCAAGGGCAACCAAAGCGTTAAGCCGGAAGGAAGCGAGCGTTGGCAAACCGCAAAACTCACAAACAACAATGCCAATGAGGCGTTGCGTCGCATCGAAGGCCCAGCCAATGTTGCAGTACGAAAAGGGACGTAAACAAAAAAAAAAATACTTCAGTGCATTTCATGTGGGTGAGGCAGCAAAAGGGGGAGACAATCATGTCGTCGCTGCCAAAAAATGCTTAAATGGTGGTGGCTGCCCGCTAAGTGTACGAGGTTGGTAATCGAATGCGCTAAAATGAGTGGCCGTTGGCTAAATTAACTTTCGTCACTTTTCAAATAATTTTTTCGATTGAATGTGATTGCTATAAATTTTGCAAATAGCAATTAAGATTCTGTAATAGAATATAACCGATAGCTCAAATTTAACGCATCTTTAGCTATCTGTTATCGAATTGAAGTGACCTATAGAAGCTAGTTGCTAGATTTATTCGAAATATAGTGGAAAAGTTCAATGAAGAACTAATTTTCTATTGGATAATATTTAAAAAAATCTTAATATAATAAACATGGTACTATGGTGTGAATAGCGAATATATAGCGGACGAATGAAAATAGGGCCATCATATTTAAAGTCAATTTGGAGAGTGTAAAGCAAAAATATTTTTGTGAGACATATTTTAGGTACTTGATTTCTTGGGTTAACAAATTGAGATTGCCACAAGTTGAAGATTCGAAAGGTTATGCAGAAAATTCGACCTCGAAAACATTCTAATTTAGGTGGGTTTCTGGCCATTGAAGGCGATGAAAATTGCTAAGAACTTAACAAGGGCGGAATAGTGGAGTATAATTATTTCCTAGTGTGTGTGAGCAAATCAGGGTACTTTTCTTGGAGAAGTCTATTTAAAGAATAAATGTTATATGATAATAAAATAAGGAATGCTCTATATTCAATATGAAAAAAGGTGGAACATAACAGTATAATAAAGGATTATTAATTCTCATTTAACGTGATAGTAACAATTGATTTATAACAATAGATTTCTCCGCACCATTTGCTTTATAGGTCAGGTTTATTTTATGAAACAAAACTTCTCACAAGACCCGCTAAATAATTTATTTTTTTCTTTTTGTTTCCGTATTTGGTCTTTACTACACAAGAGATAATGCCACACCATGGCTCGCACCACGTAGAATACTTTCACAATTCAAGTTTTGGTATTCAAGGGTAATGGAGCATAACTTTGCTTTTGGTCCTTTAGTTAGTAGTTTAAGTCTATATCGGAATTTTCGACTCTTGTTGCACTTTAAATAATCAGTAATGTAAGAAAACCTTATTTGAAATACAAAAATTTATCTATATAGAGTCTTGAGTCACTTTCACAATCTATCGATGATATAGATTTTTTTACCATTAATATACGATACGATCTTTGGCATATATATTTTCTCTCGTATTATTAGGTCTTCAAAAAAATTGTTGGCGTAACTTTTTTGTTCATAATCAAAAGTGCTGCAGTGGTAAGAGTTCTAGTATAGAGAAAAAAATATTCTTTACAGAATAAAAGAAATTTGTGAAACTTTTTGAAAATTCAAAAAGTTAAGTTTTCCTTTAACAATTGTTACTAATATTTTTTTCAAGCGTCCTTTCAGGAAGCACAAACTCGCCCTAGCCTCTTGCAATGTAACACTGCATCATAGTCAAAAGTTCCAACTATTTAAATGGACCAGCATTTTGAGCTTTGTTTACCTAACCTAACTTAACCTAACCATCCAAGCTTTTCTTCGATCGTTTCAATACTGATCTGAGCTCATACCCAGCTTTCCCTGCTATTAATACCAACAAAAAATGTGTTTCGCACACGCCTCGCAAATTCGCTTTAAATAAATTGTTGGCATATTTATGCGCATTAATATTGCAATAAGTGGTTGAGCAATGTGTGCTAATTAAAATATTTGTAGTGTTTGGCAAAATTGTTTTCATTAATTATTGAAAACTTGTTTGCATTAAATATTTTTCACTGAAAAGTTGAAATTTTTCAATTGTTGACTTATATGTTTTTGTTTGTTTGTGCGAAATTATGAATTGCAAATGCATTTTTTTGTTTTTGGTTGTGAAACTCGCTTTCGCATTTTGGTTGCATATTTTTGGTTTCTCATGTTATTGCAATTTTGTGGCACGATTTCGAATTGTTCAAGTGTGTTTGGTCGAATTATATTTTCGTTAATTTCGCATTTTAATACCAATATACAAGTAAGTGGCATCCAATTTTTTGTATTTTTTGTGCGAAAAGCATTTCATTAATTTTGTCGTCAACTGTCAGCTTTTTGAGTGAGCGTTGAGTGCGGAATTTTTTTGACATTAACCAATTTCACTGATTGACTTTGATTTTTGTGGAGTTTTGATGAAATGGTTGTTGTTGTTGTGTGTTTCGGCGTTTCAATGCCGCTTTGTTGTTGTAGTTTTCATAGCAGCTGTTTTCAGTTTTATTTAAATTTTTTATTTTTTGAGTGAGTGGAATCCAATTTCATGTGTTATTTTTTATTGTTGTTGTATAAAAGGCAGCCGATATGCATGAAAACTAAAAGACAAATAAAAGCGATATTATTTGATTGAATTTTGTTTTTGCATGTGCATAACGGTTAAACGTATTTATGTACGCAATGTTGTGTAAAATTAAAAAGTTGATGCGAATAAATTTTAAACAAAATAAATTTACATACTGACCTTTGATTTTGATCGCTGAGATCCAAGCTCTTCATTGATGCGCGCGACAATTTTTTTTCGAGAATTGTGCTGGTTCAAAAGGGATATGTTGCGCTTGGTCAGGCGTCCACTGCTGATAAATTATTTTGCATATTTTTATTTCTTTTTTATAGAAAACTAAAAAGACAAGAAATATATATATATATTTTTTTTTAATATGAAACATAATATTTATCTGTTTGTTAATAAAATTATTTAATAGAGAGTATGGATATTTTCAATTAATTGCTGCTTACACACTATATTTTCTGCAATAAATATTGGTTTAGGCAATTATTTGTGCATATTTTTAGATAAATGTAAATATTAATATCAATTTTACTCAGCAATTTTTTTAGTAAAAAAAACAAGCTACTAACGGCATTAAACATATTTATTTTTTACCAATACAATATTTTTAATTTCATATTTTCTAGCGTAACCCTTGGAGCTTGAAAATTGCTATACCCAATAGGTAGTTTAAATGATTCTGTGAATAGTCCGTTCCCATAACAGTCGGGTCTACGTAACCGGAACGGACCCGGATTTTTCCGGCCAAGGACTGTCAACTCGACAAAATTCTGCCGCTACAACAACAACAACAACTCAGTCCGGGCAAAATTTGATCATTTGGTAATTGCTATAAGATATGTTCCTGTTACAAATTTAATAGCCTCCGGGTACCCTAAGATAACGGTTTTTCTTATTTTCGAGCAGAATTTGTTCAGTTGAAGCTTGTTGTTTGGCCAAAATAACCTTTTATGTGTGTAGAGGCCTTAGAAGTTTGAGATTGGCTTCAAGTGGCGAATACAGGTTTTATAAGAATATTCTGCGTAAACAGATAATACTGGAAAGCCGAGGAGCTTTTAAAATGTTGGTTGAAAATAATATTTTGTTCAAAACAAGGTTAAATGATTATACAAATTTTTAATATATGGTTAAGTTATATGGTTAACAAAAAAACTCCAAGGTTTCACGTTTTTTAATTGGCTTTATTCTACATATTTATACATAAAAAAATTAAATAGTCGGATATACATTTTTAACATAAATTACTTCACAAAAATACTTATGCGTGTATAGGGTGATCCATTTCAGGGTTTCCTACTTTTTTGAAAAAAAAAAAAATCACATAAAATGCAAATTTAATGGGAAATGTTTATCATTCGAAAGAACATTCTTTGGCATTTATTTTTTTAAGAGTATCTCTTTCAAATATTAGCCGTATCTATGCTCAGATGGTCCATCCGTTAAATCCAAATTTCATCGTCAGTCCGCGTTGCTGCGGTAGGTCGATTACGTTGATCAGAAGTTGAGCGAAGCGTGCGAAATACATTCTTTACAGAACGTGAATTTTCGTAATCAATTTTCGTGGCGTAGTAAAACTTTCCATGATGAAATGCTAAACAATACTGAACAAAAATAGCATGACAGCTTGACACGACTCACGTGTGATCTCTTCAATAAAAGGCTATTAAAAAAAGTACCTCTACTTGGATCACCCGTTAGAATGTAGGTCTGCTGAGGAAACAAAAAAAACGGATGGGATATGATAGGGGCATAACTTCAAAGTTTCTCCGAAAATAAATATTTGCATGAACTAACTTGCTTGGAGCCCCACATAACAAATATACACGTTTTTCTACGAAATGGTTGCCTGGTATAATCGACGAACACCTCATTGGGCAGCTAATCAGCTGTGTCATGCACAAAATAACGAAATCACAACCTTTTCAGGACTTTGCCGCAGACTTCCATACTAGCATATGTATGTGTTTGTGTAATCTACACTACTGCTATGTGGAAAAAGCCCACAAACACGTGAAAATAATTTCGAAAGCAAAAAAGATAGTTCTTTACAAATAATCATTTGTAGTTCGTGAGTAAACGGTCGTGCAACCCCATCAAAACGCGCCACAAAGTTAATGAAACTGGCTGTGAATAAAAGAAGAGTTGCGACGGCCGCAATCATTAACACCAAGTCCCAAAGGATGAAGCGGAACAAAGCTAATGTAGAATGCGCGCATGTATAAGTGTGTGTGTGTGTATGGCATACAGAGCTTGAGAGTCGGCTGTCGGCCGTTAACGGTTGAGTAAATGGCTGGCACTATGAATAAACCAGAACTCATTCAAGCGTTAATGCGGCTAAGGGGTAAAAATGTAACGATGGCAAATAATCACAAAAGGAGTGTTGTTGCCAAAACCCACAGTCGTCACAAATAAATATACATAAAACACAACAACAACAAACACAAATAAAATGAGTACAAGTTTGTGTTAAAAATAAATGCAATATGAGAAAATAGAAAAATTGGCAGAGATTAAAGGATACTCGGCGCAAATGTCTTCTTAATTACTTCACAACGAGCTAACGAGCAGCGCCGGTACGGTAGGGTGAAGGAGAGGATCGCTTGAAAGGGGATGTGTGAAATGAGCGTGTGACTGACTGGTCAAAGGGCGGAGCGAGCGATCGACAGCGTGCACTGGACTTGTTCACCGGCATGCGAAAGTGTGCGAGCCAATGACCGGGCCAACGGCCAGGCAATATAACTGTAAAAGCGAAGTTGTGAAACAGCGCAAAAAAGGAGAGAAATTTCACAAAAAATTGTAACAATTTTAGCGTAAGTAATTCAACGTGCAAGCAATAAACATGCACACTAGCTTACATGGCGGAAATCAACGAATAACGGTAAACGTAGCAAGTGCCGACAGATGCCTGCCAACACGACAGCCTTCAAACGGAAGTAATTTAATTAATTACAAATGAAACGGAAACTCAGCACAGCTTCCAGCGATGGCTGTACGCAACTGCTGACAAGCGTTATACAAACACACACACCGCCACATCTATACACAACCATACACGTGCATTCGCCTGGCAACTCAATCGATGAGCTCAAAAGCACCACAAGCAATACCTTTTGCTCGGCTTGTTTTCCTGCTGATTGTGCTGGCAAAACATTTATTTATGCACACACACACACACACACACAACTGTATGTAAGTGTGCTGATATGTTAGTGTGTGTATATTGCTTTGTAACATATACTTCGCTTGCGTAGCGCACAAAGTGTAGTTGTTGCGCCAATACGAGTTTTAGCTTTAATAGCAGCATCAGTTTCGCTGCCAAACACGCCAATTGTTGGCCAGTGCAATTTTCAATAAAATTCCTGGTTAATATCTGTACGTATATATGTGAAAGCGTTAGTGAGCCTTTGAAAAACGAAAATCCGATATTACTTTACCGAGTACTCGTATTGTGCTGTTATTGCTCTGTATGCCTGTTGTTTCTACTGTTTGTACTCACGTTGAGTTCGATTGTGTCTTAACCGGTTGGAATGTAGTTAACTGATTTATTGCGAGCTTAAAAGGTATGCTCTTTAATTACATATACATACGCATACTATTCCACTTAATTCAGTTTCTTTGAATCAGGGCGTAAGGATTGTTAAAAGTTTCATAGTGTATAGGTTGCACTGTGTTAAATAAATAATTGAGAATGCAAACTGACGAAAAGCAAAATTGCTTGTTATTCTCCAAAATAGCAAAATAATTTTTTAGAGCTTTATGTAAGTTATCAACTTTATTCAAAAATCAATGCGAAGTCTTTTACTTCTTTGTTATATCATCTCCAACAGGTATTAACCTTTCCTTCCCATTATGCCATCTTTTTATATTAAAAGCCGGCGCGTCCTTGCCCGATAACCAATAACCACTGAATAATAATTTGACACCCTCCACTTCATCTCATGAGATTTTACCATCACCCTCTACTGCCCCAAATATAATATAAGATTGTGCACCGCGACTGGCTCAAAAGGGCTGGCTCTAAGCAACTGAAATTATGGGACTATAACATACATAACAGATCAAAGTATTAGTTAGAAAATTTAAATTACAAATCAGAAATATGTTTTGGCTTCAATTTCGATTGATAGTAAAAGACATCAAAAATTTGATCTCTGTTTCACGTGGATTCCGATTTTATATACGAACATCTTATCAAACCATTGGATTATCAAATTAGACGGCATAGGCATAAAATTAATGCCTTAATACTAACTCTTCGTATGTCTTTTTTTTAAAGATGGCAAATTATAAATAACTCGTAATATATACTCTTGCAGGACTCATACTGTATTATGCCTTAGGATAATAGAGCTTTATATCACGAGGCTTGGTGGTTTAATCTATCTAAAAATAATTTCTCAAAACCCTGAAAAACAGTTAGGAAGCCAATTTTTACATTCTAATGGAAATCATTCAGGTCTGCAAGTTATAGTTCAAACAGTCACCGACATTCCTCCAATCCGTACTTACCGCCTTGTCTAAAATTATTTTGCGCGAGGAGGAAATGTATTTTTTCGCTTTAAATCAAATGAAGTTTTTAGACAACGACGCAACGACAAACATCTGTTTTGATGTTATAAAGTAACGATAAATTATCAAGCTTACCAGATATATACCTGGTACTATCACCGCTATGTAACAATTAAGGCTCAGAAACTATAGTAGAATGTAAATTTTCACTTTCCCTTTTACACCCAACCTTCATGTGACTTCCCAGAGGGAACATCACGAACGCAAATTCTACAACCGACCCACAACGCTGCCAATTGCATGAGAGTTATGTGGATGAGTTGATGAGTTTCGGGAGAATAAAATGATAAGCTACAGCTAAATTTTTATACATATTAACTCGTTGGCGGCCACAACGAACTTGATGGCACAATGATGGAAAGTTAGAGAATGCCAGCTATCGGAAAGTGCCCCCTACACTGGAAATGCCATTCGCCTCGTCTTGTTTGCAATAATGACTGCCTGTATTTAAACAAATTTTCAAATTGCGTGACTGTGCAAAGTATTTTGTGATAGCAGCAGCTATTTTCAGCGTTTAATGGCCTTCGCCCGTACTAGCCGCCCAGCACCTTCACTGCAAATGCTGTTGTACGATGTTAGAATCGTTTTTTGTTGGAATTACAATTATCTCGAAACTAACTATGTTTGTTGGCTTGTTAGTTCTGCTAACGTGTTGTTCATAGTTGTAGTGCTGTGTGTAAGTGTCGAAATGTTGACAGGTGCCATTCTTACTTTGCCCACTATTAAATCGTCCATCAGCTCCTAAGCGCCGAGCTTTG